TGAGAAAATCAACGTCAGAAATGTAAGTGAGATGATTACTACTTGTGGGACAGCGACAGAGACGTGACAGAGAAGAAAATAAATTCTGAACTAATAGAGTACGATGTAATTAGAAGACTAAACTGATGCGTTTGAGACTGAAACAAGTGCATCAGAATAATAGGAGGGATGAGGAATTTCCATGAGCTACGTAAATCAACCCTTCATTGAATTTTTAGAGAGATATAATAGTGCAGGACTGGATAGGGCGGATGTGTTCCTTCCGTGCTACACGTGACATGTGTACCCAGCTTGGCCTGTGAGCCTAAAGGGAGGAACCCACATGGAAGACATGAGCGTAGATGTGAGAGCACTATTGAAGTGTATATGAGGGTGTGAACTGTATTCCTTTCGCTCAGGAGGGCGTCTAGAGAGAAACTTGTAAGTGTGGTTATGAACTTTCTGGGACACGCCGTCGCGTAGTTGGTTTAGGTACTATGCTACAAGCCGGAAGGTCGCGCGATCGAATCCCGATGAAGTAATTTTTTTTTTTTTCAATTTACCTAATCCTTCTAGCCTCATTATGGCCCTGGGGTCGACTCAGCCTCTAACAGGAATTAGTATCAGGAATATTCCAGAGGGTAAAGGGCGGCCGGCGCGTAAGGCTGACAACCTCACCGCCATCTGTGAGCCGATTGTCTACAGAAAATGTGGGAGCCTCGACCTCTCACAACCCTATGGGCCTTCACGGCCTGTTACAGGGATACCTTTACCTTAACCTTTACCCTAACTTTCGGTTCGCAAGGCAGCAAATTTGTTACACAGCTGGCCCACTTCCGGTTATTCTGATCCTACAAGCTTAACTTGATAGAAGTTAAGTTCTGAAATAAATTGTCGCTAAATAATTGTTGGCGCAACAAAGGCTAACAGATATGTATATATATATTGTAACGTCAGCCGTGACGTGCCGAGCGGAGCCAAAGTAAGCCGAGTCCCAGCTCGCTTAGCCTAGCAACCGCTGTTTACTCGCTTTGCTTAGCAACCGGTGTTTACTCTCTTTGCATAGCGACCAGCGTGCTTGAACTCGGCTCACTTCGGCTCCGCTCGGCACGTCACGGCTGGTGGGGAGGGAGGGGCGTCATCCATAGCGCAACACGTCACTATATATATTTAGACACAATCCGATGGATATATAACATGAGATATACATAAAAGTTTCTTAGTGTAACCACTTGGACACATCCCCTGTGTTCACAGAGAAGGAAATGGGAGAATGTACGGGACACATGTGGCAAGAATGGTGTAACCAGATGGGAATGGAACCGTGGACTATGTTACCAGGGATATAAAACATTCGGTTTCTGCAATCGGAGTGCTATCTTAATTTGTTTTGTATGTCAACCTTCTCATTAATTTCCCAGTTTTATTAAATTGATCAGCAGAGCTTGGTGACACTAGAAAAACAAACAAATAAAACGCTATTCTTGTAGAAATTATGACAGTTTTTCGAGTGCCAACTGCTGTTCCGAACGCAAATTTTTCTATGTCCCTACAACCCCTTGTTGGACCTTGACCGCTTTTTCAGTTTTATTGTCTTTTACACAGTCGGTAGGACTTCTTGTACGGGGGATCAGCCCTTCGTGAGGCCCTATACCCCCTTCTTGGAAATTGACCCCTTTTTCAGTTTTATTGTCTTTTACACAGTCGGTAGGACTCCTTGGACGGGGAATCAGCCCTTCGTGAGGCCGCTACCTGCACTCAGGACAACACAAACACAGAATAAACGCACACAGACATCCATTCCTCAAGCGGGATTCTAACCCATGATCCAATGTTTAAGTGGGCGAAACAGTTCATGCCTTAGACGGCACCGAAAGCAAATTACACTGTGAAAACCTCATTCAGTCATTCGAGTTTTTGTCCTTTGTTTCTCAGTTTATCTCACAAATAACTCTCTACGAGTATTATGTGGATACCGAAACACAGAGCATATAAAACGGTGGACTTCTGATTATAATGACGCGTCGTCTGTTCGAATGCCAGATGGTTATGACTGTGAATCCCCTGCCTTCAGTACTCTCTTGTCACGTGAATCTTACTCAGTGTCACGAGGTCAGCTTCTCCTTCTCCGTTGCTTGTGCATAGTGGTATGTAGTTTCTCGTCTGTTTAAATGTTACAGACTCCCAGGTTCAGTTTTTACACGGAAATTGGATAATCGATATGGAAATTGCGCTGGCGGGACGTCAACTTTATGCGCAATAACTTTTCTTCCAATAGATCTCACGTCGCCTAGGAATTTTAATGAATTTTAAATGTCAGACTGGTTTAAGTTTTCCATAAAAATTGTACTGAGCCATATTTGTATTAGAAAGTCCTTCGTCATGTAGATTCATTATGCATATTTTTTTTTAATTTTAATAATTTTGTTTATAATTAGGAATTTACAAGATTATAATGCAACTTTCTATTAACTATAATTTATATACTTCGAAAAATGTAATTTTAAGATTATTTAATATCTTAGACTGTAAAGTCTTTGCTCTTATCCAGCTAGTAGATTCACGTTTTGAGTTAAATTAGATGTATCAACGAGAAACAGAAGTGATACGACTTCCTGTATCAACTTATGGAGCCTTTGTTCATTCACAGGTTCGTCCATACTGCGAGGCTAGTAAGAACTATAAAATAATAATTGAAATATTAACCGTCCATTTATGTGCATAATTTACACTAACGAAGCTTCCAACTATGTTAAGCTTGCCAGATATTACCTCTAAGATCCATACTTTCGTTATGTTTATAATTGTTGACTTCTAAACTTTCTACCATATAGTATTTTTTCCTCTTGCTCCCAATTTGGAGCATGGAACTGATTTCTGAGTTTCATTGATCATTTTACAGACTGTAGGGCTCATTGGACGGAAGATCAGCTCGTCTCAAGGCATCTACCTAAACACAGGACAACACAAACACAGAAAAAACACAAACACAAACACCTAACATCCATGCCCTGAGTGGGATTCGAGCCCACAATCCCGGTTTCCGAACTAGCGAATACAATACATGCCTTAGGCCTCTCGACCACCGTGACCGCCCATTTAGTATTACTAATAATTGACTGGTGTCCACTTGTACCGGCTCTCACGGTCTCTTCGCTTGCGAATTTTCTTATTTTTCCTTCTACCCTGAAGAGGGAGGCGATACGTTCCTCAGAAACGTCGGTTAACACCACATCTACACGATACCACATCCCAGAAGACTGCTTTCTTCATAGTCACCGCCGTGAAAACCTCAAATCTTACAAAATATTAGCTATTTTTTAGAGTCTGTTGAGTTAGAGAAGCCATTGGAAACAGCGGTTACTTCAAAGCAAACGATTTCACTTCTTTCCCTACCCTGATCATTTCATATTTATAGCGGTCTTATTTGTGTTTCTCCGTTCTCTCCAGTTTTTTATGTAACTCAACAGCATTGTACGTTCTCTGATGTTTCAGTATGGGTCCTCTGTAATGGAAATTAGGCTTGCTGCTGAAATAAAAGCTTTTAGCCCCAAAACCCAGGTTACATTTCCAGCTTCTGTTTTCAGTTTGTGTTTCGAGAAACAAAGCAGGAGTTAATTTCATGTTTTGTTTCACATTTTGTAGTTTCTATAACTAATTTGACGTCTGATGGTTACATACTCAACAGGCAGGAAACTTCAGCGATATATCATTACATAAATTAATGTACAATAAAGTAATAAAAAAGGTAAAGCTGTCCCTGTAACAGACTGTTGAGGCCCATAGAGTTGTGAGACGTCGAGGTTCCCACATTTTCTCTAGACAATCGACTCACAGATGGCCGTAAGGTTGTCAGCCTCACGCGCCGGCCGCCCTTTACCCCACCCCCTGAGGATTCCTGGTACTCATTTGTGTTAGAGGCTGAGTCGAACCCACGGCCATAGTGCGACTGGAAGAATTAGGTCAACTGAAAAAAATCCACCTCATCGGGACTCGAACCCGCAACCTTTCTGTTTCTAACGTAGTAACTAAACCAACTGTGTTACCGCGAAGGTAATATGTATATATATATATATATATATATATTCCATTTAGTTGGATTAAATCTCAGTGTATTCATATATAAATGATGTAAAGGTAGACATTCTTTATATACGGCTGAACTTTCATACATTACTTTAATTTTTCATGAACGTTACAAAGTTCAGATTTATAGAATTCAATTTCATATCTCATGCGCACACTGCAGGTCACTGCACTTCGTAAAATTAAAATTAATAGAAAGTAAAATAATTTTGAAAAATTGAAAGTTTTTCTTAGACTATCTTCTGTGTAGACAATCTTATATAAATATATTTATTGTACCAAAATTTTCTTGTTAAATGTTGTCTTATACTGTCTAATTTTAACCAGAGTTACACTAATTCTAATTATCCAGTCTGTGTTCTAAATATACATTTTCATGCAAGGAAGGGAAACAGTGCTCTTAGTGGTACAAATGGATAAGAGTCGCAGTTGCTGTGAAGAACGCATAATATGAACCTATAGATGTAATATTTTATGTAAAATTAAAGTAATTTATTACAATAAAATATATTGCATTAACCAAAGTAAGTTTAAAATTCAAATTCTTAAGTTTTCAAGTAAAATTATGGGAGATTTTATGTTTATTAACATAACTGTTATGTTAAACGTTCGCTGAGATAAAAATATACTACGCTATAAATTTAAACAAATATTGATAAATGACATGGACGTGCCAGTACTTAGGCTTTATACACAACATTTATTATTTTTAGTTTATGCTCGTCTTATAAGCCCGAGTACAAAGTGAGCTCCTATTTATCTAATGAGAAAACTTCTCTTCCATAATTGAATTTATAATTTAGTTCTGAAGTTTTATAATACTTACTTCGAGAGCCCGAAAATAAGGTAATCACTGTTTGAAGCAAGAACCTCGCCTTATATTCGGGTTAGTGCGGTAGTTAAGAAAACTATCGGACGTTATCGCACTATCATACCTAGCACCGTGACGTTGGTGGTGAGGACCCTGGGAGGATGCGTGGACACTTGGCACATATACAGTCCCTCATCCTCTCGTTGAACGGGGCTGATATGAAGCTGCCAGTTGTTGGGATACTGGAACTTGACCCTGAGCCGCGGGTCGCTACTGTACGGATTGGCTCCCACTGTGAGCAGGCTAACGCGGTCCGTGTTCCTCCGTAGCCACATCACCTGCAACGGCAATTATACACTCACTCAACTCCGCACACCAGCCTCGCATTTTGTTATTGCTAGTGGGGTGGGACTAAGTCCCTTGTACTGCGGCCACTTCTGGCCTATTGTACCAGCCCCAGATGATAGGTGAGGGTGATTGTGGAGCAATTTGTGGAATGAAGGTTGACAGGGGAAACCGAAGTACTCGGAGAAAACCTGCGCCGGCGCCACTTTGTCCACCACAAATTCCACTTGACCAGACCCGGAATCGAACCCGGGCCGCCGCGGTGGGAAGCCAGCGACTAACCGCTTGAGCTATGGCACGGCCTAGCCTCATATTAGGGCTGTAATCTTCTTAACCTTGTGGAACAGTGTGGGAGTACTTCATGTTGAAGCTCTCATTTCTGTTGTCCACACAGTTTTCTTAAACTTTTCTTTGTATGATTATATAATACATATATAATGAGTTTCTTTTTTTATTTCCACGCGGCAAGCAGTGACAGGAGTGAGACGGGTGTGCGTATGTTTAGGGTGAACGACGGGGACAGGTTTACATATGTAACATGTAACTGAAGAGTAATTCAGGTTTCCACAATAGACACAAGGGAAATTACTGAAAAAAATTATACCCTGGGGGATGATTTCGGGAGTGCCCCAAAGTTCAGCTCTTTGGAATCGGGAGATAAATTATTACGTTCAAGTTACAGAATGTTTCAAACAATGGGTTACACTTGCGGATAAAGGAATTTATAAACTAATAGAATCGCTAAAGTTCAAACAATTATAAAATCTTCAGGTAAATTTCTCGTAAAAGGATAGAAGAGAATTGCGTTAAATACGAAATTATGCAAATAACCATAAAAACAAACGTAATAGACGGTGAGAATAAAGTCATTCCCCGATTAAGGAAATTAATATTTGAATTGGAAACCCTTGCTAGATAAAAACATACGATGCGTAGCATGACGTATTGCAAACCTTAGAATTCTTTGTTGTACAGTTGCACAACCTATAGAAGACTTTGCTAGGGCTGCAATTGACAGTATCAAAATGGCGCCCATGAATGATAAAGTCTTTTGGTTTCATGAAACGAAATCGCCACTTATAGTCCAGCGAAACTTCAGATGTGAGTATGGACGACATCCGCCAGATGTTAAAATCATCACAGGTTGGAATGCAAAGTTTGAAGAGACTGGCAATGTTGGCAGGCCTAGTGTGAGTGAGGAGACTGTTGATGATTACCAGTGCAGTTCGCGGAAATCAACTCCTCGTGAGTCACATGAGCTTCGCATAACTCAGAGCACAGTGGTAAACATTTTGCACAAACGGCTACGTTAATGCGCATACATAGTGCAACTCCTTCAAGCCTTGGGACCAGACGATCATCACTGGCGTGCTGCTTCTGCTACGGAGATGTTGCAACGCACTGATGAAGACAGTGATTCCTTACGCGTGTGTTCTTGTGATGAGGCTACCTGTTATAACCGCCCACAAGCCTAAATGGTATTTCATCAAGTTATTCTCAATAATTTTATAATAATTACGCAGAGTGTGACATAGCTCACCTCTTGCACACACGAAGCTGCCTATTTCCCAGATGGACCACACACACACACAAAAAAACTCCAGATGGCCCCCTGGTGATTTAGTTAAGCATTTCTTGGAATTTTGGTTCCAGAGTCGCTCGGCGACTCACTTTGGAAATTTGACTCTTGACAGTTTCTGCTAGTCTTAAGTCACACGAAGGCGTGCCAGGAGGGGACGCTATGGCCAGCATACATCATTACCTTTCAAAAGTTACGTTAGGTCATTAAAGAAAAAAATATTGCCTCTAGAGTAAAATGATTGGAAGTAGCGGATTCAGAGTCAACTCCCTTATTTCAAATCTGACCAATCCTCAAAAGTCGAGGGTGTGACTTGGGAACTTCGCGGAAACTGGAAAGGCTCACATCTCTTCAGAAAAACAGTCTTCAAAAACTCATCAAACAGGCATCAAATAGTCTTCAAATACTCTTCAAACAAACAAACAAAAAAGTGGTGGTCCAGCTAGGAACAGTTGTTAGTGTTTGGTAGTTCACCTTTGAAAGAAGTGCCAGCACCTGGTGAATTGTGTATGTGAACTGTGTTTTGTTTTACACTTTCTTCACAAAGAATAAATTATACTTACATGCAAAGTGCAAGTGTATCATTAGACGCTTCTGCCTCCCTGTCTGAGCGAGGCCCGTATAAAAGATCCTGAGATAGTCTCATCTCTACCTTCTGAGGTAAAGAAATTTCACCTGTGTTCCTTTGGCAAAGAGCATCAGCAACAGCCGCTGCAGGCGGAAACCAGGTGAAGGAACAGGAAGGTAAAGGGGGACGGCGACAACAAGAAGGTGACACCCAACGTAAAAGGGCACTATACAGAGAGAGCGGTTACACTGTCACACTTCAGGAGAGGTCAGCAGATACAATGTCCGCATCTGGAGTTTAGAGAACCCACGTGTTGTTTTAGTGACTGAGAGGAACAGCCCTAAAGTGAAGGTTTGGTGCACCTTAGTGCTCAACAAGGTTATGTAGGTTGCTTGAGAGAGAGGTCTTCTGGGAAGACCGGAGGCCTTATATTCACAGGCATAAAAACTTTAAACCTCCCCCTGTTTCTTGCTGGATCTCCAGTGACATTGACATTTTACATCAGAAATTACTTCCATAAGCAGAACGTGCCTTCATAACTTGTACGTTTCTCAAGGTATATTTAGAATGATCAAGTCAAGGATGATGAGATGGGCATGGCATGTAGCACGAATGGGGAGAAGAGGACTGCATATAGGATATTGGTGGGAAAGCCAGAAGGAAAGAGACCACTGGGAAGACAAAGGCGTAGGTGGGTGGACAATATTAAAATTGATCTTAGAGAGACAGGATGGGATGGGATGGATTGGATTGATCTGGCTCCGGATAGGGACCAATGGAGGGCTCTTGTGAACACCGTAATGAATATTTGGGTTCCATAAAATGCTGGGGAATTCTTGAGTAGCTGCAGAATTGGCGGCTAGTCAAGAAGGGCTCAGCTCCATAAATAAGTAAGTAAGTAGATTGTGTGTTGGATATATAAGGATAATTTTCTGCTACAACTATTTTTCACGGAGAGACGTTTGTTGAATATAAGTCCGATATATTGATTATATTATTCCGATTCTAGTAGAAAAGTTTATCGGAAATCACGAAGCCGTTTTATTCCTACAAATGTGGGAGAATTTCCATATCAGGATCGGAGAATCGAATCTTTTGTCAGTGCGCAAAGTTTAAGTGTCGAAATGAAATGTCAGAGTGCCACAAATCTGCAGTAAACTTCCTATACAATTTCATCATAAAAGGAACCTCTGAGAGACTGTTTCTTAGACACACATACCCACACATGTTCGAGGATTGTGGTGTACTGATTGTGTTTTAGTACCGCTATATCACACCAGGTAGGTCTGAGATCAAGTGTCAATTTTCAGTTGGTTATCTGATTTTTCCTTTGCATATTTTACTCCTTGTTCTCTAGTTCCCTTGCCCGTTTCTTCAGACATGAAGAAAAGAGCAAATAATGTTCCATTTTGAAAAATATCCTTAATATTGTGACGTGTAGATTGTTACGCGTGACGAAATGAGTAGTTCTAGTTTTGTTGATTGGATTTATTAGCACTTTGGTTACAATCTCTCTTAATCACATTTACTACAGTACTATCGCTGGTTTACACACATTGTTCCTCTCTTGGTAACACAATTAAAACACAGGAACTAGCGTTTCGAATCACTCCAAATAATATACATAAATAAAATCCTCAAATCACACTTGGACTCCTCACAGCCCGACCTCCAGTACTCTTCTGTACTCCTGGTTCGAATTATATCCACCGCTACCATCTCTCGTAACTGCCCTCAACTGGAGTCTGTCACTCTGTCACTCTATTTCTAGTTATAATTCGCTCGGAACTTGAGACTCAAAGCTCTCGTTTAATAGCCGCAGCACGGGCGGCATGGGGAAAGTTATATTGTTGATGACACAGACCGCACAGAAAACACGTCACGTGATATCTCGTCAGCCCATTGGTGTGCTGACTGTCGCCTAGCAACGAGCTACAAAACAATTATCTTATTGTTGTGTCGCACTCAGTTGAAGATTGTTTACTGGTCGTTACCTAGAAACGCTATGGCAATCCACGTTACAATATTTAATTCTGATAAACTTAGGAAGAGCTACACACATATAGGAGTGTAATAATGGAATTGATATTATAGAAATAGGAGAAGAAGGCATGGACTGGAATCTTCTCGCTCAGAACAGCGACCAGTAGAGGGCACTCATAAATAAGGTAGTGGACCTTTGGTATTGTGACGTGGATGGAGCAGCGCTCGGTAAACACCCCCCTCTCCAGCGGCGACGTAACAGCATCGGAGCAACTGCCGTTGCTACGGTAACAGGCCATTCAATACTCGTTTCACCTCCCGTTTCCCAGCAACTGTTAGACATGTCACAGTATCCATAAAATATTAGGAAATTCTTGAGGAATATTGGTTTCCCAAGGAGGACTGAAATCCGTAGAGTAGTTTAATTACGACAACCATAAGTTTCTCGCAGCATATCTGATTCTCATCGCTCCTACTCGATATTGATTTTGTCAGAATTCTCTGTCTCTATGGCTCTACATTCCTTTGGACCTTGGCAGTTTTTCAGTCTCTTAATCCTATATACAGTCGGTATGACTCCATGGGTTGCGGGTAAGCCCACCGCAAGGTCGCTACCTACACATAGAATAACACAAACACAGAGAACCATGCCTCGAGTGGGATTGGAACCCGCGATCCCAATGTTTCAGCTGGCGAAGACGGTTCATGCCTTAGACCGCGCGACTACTATGATCGGCTGATCAGAATTCTACGTAGATCATTATGTAATATCTGCTTTTTTGCTTAATGTGTGACTGCAAGAGACAATTCCATTAGACATTATAAACTTCGTTTTCAATAATAAATATACCTGATCTCGATTTCAGTCTGTTGGTCCGCATAAATTGAAATATGAACGGTACTTCTGACAATAAAATTATAAAGATGGAATTCTTTTTGAAAAATACTATCCAAAAAATAACAAATATTTTCTGATCGAATCTGGAATTAAAATAATACTGACACTTGGAGTTATCTTGAGAGAATATCATGTGTTTATTTAATATAATTTAATTTAATTTATTTAATCATATGTAGGAACTTGTAAGGACTTATATTTGTAGGATATTGACGAATGGTGCTGCTTTAAGTTGGTTACCAGTGGTAGCAAGTTCTGTATTAATGTGTGAAGAAGTTCCTCTCTTGTATGGAGCCCCAAAACTCATTACAACAATCAGCTTAACGCACCACCTGACGTTACCGCTGAGAACTTTAAATCGAGTGTCGACTCACACTCACTGGGATTCATTTTAATATTTCTCTCATATCCGTCTCTGTCTCCGCTCTTCATGTTTTCAGACTTGAATTTTGTAGGTGTTGACGACCCGTCGCGTCCTCTTGGCATGACTGCCGTACTAATATTATGTTGAGAGTACAAATTATGAAACTTGTTTTCATATAATTTATGAAAATGAACAGACCCCCCCCCCACAAAAAAAAATGAAGCTTTAAACACTTCAAAGAAATGCACTCCTCAGAAGATAGTACTATTTTGATATTATGGTTGGACTGAAGAATACTAAAATTTATATTTTTATAACGATATTTACGTTATGCTCCTCCATACGGAAGCCAGCTGATCACAGTGGCGCGTGGTCTGAGGCATGAACTGTCTTCGTCTGCTCGAACACTGGGATCGCGGGTTCCAAACCTCCAATGGGATCGCGGGTTCCAAACCTCCTCTGGGTATGGATGTCTATATGTGTGTTTATTCTGTGTTTGTGCTGTCCTGTGGGTAGGTAGCGGCCTTGCAACGGGCTGATCTCCCGCCCAAGGAAAAAAGATTAAGAAACTGAAAAAGCTGTCAAGTCCAACAAAGGGCTGTAGAGCCATAGATGGATGGATGGACGGACGGACAGATATGGAAGCTAGTCTTTGGAAAGCTATATAGTTCAGAATATTGTGTTTGAGTGCACAAGTATTGTTCCAGGCAGCAATCGTATTTTCTATTTACTTATATATTATATGTTATTTTTTGTCTCGAACATGGCCCTGCGACCTACGAACAAACACGGGAGTAGCAACGAACGTGTATATTCCATTTATATTATTGATTAATACCCGTAACGTGTGTAGACAGCATGTGCAATTTTTAAAATGCAGAGTCAAGAATAGGTTTAAATTCAGTGGTAACCTAGTCACGGTGTAGGTCTACTAGAAATGTCCATATGAGAGTCACAGGAAACCACTGGGAACACTATCATACAGCGCAGAATACTGTAGTTCCATTTTATGTTTTAATTCTTAAATTGAAAAGGACTGCTGTTTTATTATGGACCATTCACATTGTAATTTTCTCTCTGTGTCACTGTACGATGTAGCACTATCGTGCACTTAAAGAAATAAATACCTAGAAAATTTTACGTTAACTTAGTTGACGCAGAAGCGCGAGGCCTTCTTTTTTAACAAAATCACTAAGAACCGTGGTGTCGAGTTTTGAGGGAATCTGCATATTCGCGTTTCTTTTCTTTATCTTGTTTCTTGCATTCAGAGACCAGCGCTGGGTCCATACTGCGTCAAGGTACACGACTGGTACGTGTAGATCTAATTCTAGATCACAAAAGTCTGAAGATCGTAATCCGTGAAGGACGAAATATGAACATTATTTCAAAACGTTATGGATTTATTAATGACATTATGATAATTATTAAAGAGAATATTTTAGAATACAAGGACGGCGTTATTCTGAATATAAGGCAAAACCTGCAGTAAGAAAATATTAAAAATGATATAAAAATATTGAGTATGTCATTTAGTTCTGAGGATTATAAACATAATGAGATAAAAACTATATTGTTAGGAAATAATAAATTCAAATTTTTATACTTTAAATAAAAATTCTACGTATTTCCTCAAAAACCATTAGAATTATTAATTAGAACCCCTCATACTTATCGTCTTGATATTCATTCTTCTCGCTTACGTAATCCAGTCCTCTAATTCCTTACGTTGTCGGGGTTGTTCTTTTCCTTTTTTTAATTTTGATCATTTTACAGACGGTAGGACCCCTTGAACGAGTGACCATCTCGTCGCAAGGCCTCTACCTAAACACAGGACAACACAAACACAGAATAAACGCATATACACACCAAACATCCATGCCTTGTGTGGGATTCAAACTCACGATCCCGGCTCCGAGCGAGAGTAGACAGTTCATGTCTCAGAACGCTCAGCTACCGCGACAGACTACTCATTTCTTACGACATGAAAATAAGGCGACCCAGTATTCCGGTTGTCTCCATGGTTACAAACTCAAGCCAGATGCAGGGTTCCTCAGCGATTACACGAAATTCCTATGGCAACCATCTCTTAAACCTGGCGCGTTTTTTGTCTGTGTTTGAATGCGTACAATTTAAATCAATCGTGATGACGCATTTGCTTCTTTTGCACGTCCCATAATGCACTTCCGTAACTACTTTCTATAAATTATATTTTCCCTGAAGACTCACGTCTTAGGGGTGGCTATTATTCGGAAACTGCACGACAGCTGCGAGACATTCACTCTGTAACATTATCATAATTTTCCGATTTAACTGATTTCTTACCTGAGATATTAAATATCTTCTATTTTAATGTAGCGACAAAGCTGCCAGGCCTGGAAAAGTTTATTTAGAAGACAAGGAAGAGATAGCCGGCTTCTAGGATGTAGCGCCGTGTAGATATTGTGTTAACGGACGTTTCGGAGGAACGTGCTGCTTCCATCTTAGGGTATAAGAAAAAAGAAAATCCGCGAGGGAGGAACCAGCGTGAGTAAGTGCTTACAGACTAATGTCGAGTCCCAGAAGACGGATTTCTTCATAGTCACTGCCGTGAAAACCTCAAATCTTGCAAGGAAGAAACAGCTTTCGAGCAGGTTGTTTTAGAGGTATCATCCTGTATTTCTGAAGATGTTTGGTTTGAATCTGGGCCTGGAATATTCTTTATCGTAATTGAGAGATTCTATTGCTTTTTGCCTCAGTCCGTCCACGAAGATTAGGACACAACCAATTTAGCCCACATCCTTCCTATTTCGTCATTTATCAGCAATTCTAGGATTCGGCGTAATGTATTCGGAGCTCCTGTCAGCATAGTAAAGTAACGGTAAAAATGGATGTGCCAGGAAAATGCAGACTGCTGACTGCAGCCATCACCTGCTCACGCTGGTCCCTCGCTCGCAGATTTTTCTACCCTGAAGATGGAGGCGATACATTCCTCAGAAAAGTCGGTTTACACAAGATCTACACAGCGGCACATTCCAGAAGACGGTATTCTTCATCTTATTCATAATCATTCTTTTCTAGGAAACAGAATTTGAAAAAAAATAAACTCTCCTTATATTTGGGTTAAGAAGCATTTTTTTTTCTGATTATTTAGCTTATTGTCCTCATCATCGGTAGTCACCATGCTAAGTTGAATAATCGAGAAATATTAAACTACAAAAGCGTTTTTCAACAACTGGTTGTGTTTTGTTAAAACCGTCCTCGAAAAGGCTTACCTTCCGTGAGAAAAATTCACGACGTATTCCATAGATATGACTTTTCTTTAAACACTAGTAGTTGCTCAGCTAGTCAAGAAATTACTCCTTTGTGGTGACACCTGAAATTTCCGTAACGTATATGCAAGATCCCTCCTGTTGTGCCCTACCCTGAATCTCATAAATACGGTTGCAAAATTTTACATTTTTTTTAATATATATTTTATTAGTGTGTTCCATCTACACTGATGTCTCAAAGTGGTGTTGTTACTTCAGATTATCTAAATAAAATTTGTTCACGCATTTCTTATTTCTCACATAACCCGTTAATCGGTTTTTTCTTCATTTCATCGTCGTAATATATGGTAAATTCTGCAAATTATAAATCTCCTTACCGTGCAGTTTCCTATACGTACCTAATATTACTACCTACTCCTTAGACCCAGATATGCTCCTCGACGGCCTGCTCTGAAACACCTTCCCTTAACACCTCAGCCCAAGTGTCACACCCGTCAAGTAAAGTATGGGATGTTATAGATGTTTATGTTCAAATCTTTGCCATTTTCAGAGAAGGAAATAAAATAATTTGCAGAAATTAAAGTTATCAGAGCGGTATTTATGAAGAATTCTATCTCATAGGATATAACGTTACCTTGACCGTAGAAAGTCAACTGACGTTTCGGAGGATTATGTCGCCTCGTTCTTCAGGGTCGATGAATAAGACAAGCAAAAGACCAGAAAACTACCTTCTTCATGTTGATTTCGACCCTGAAAATGTGGACATGTTCCTCTGAAACGTCGGTTAACTTTCAACGAACTACATGGTGTTATATCCCAGTAGATAGAACTCTTCAAAATATCTCAAATTCCTTTAATTGAATCAACTCTTAGTCTCTCCGTGAAAGCAATAGTAATCCCTTACTGTTTTTCGTGGGTATTTCAATTTGCCTTTTGAAAAATATTTGCATGTCGAACGCTGTATATTCACGCGTGATCACGAAGGACAGTCCCTCCTCACTTTGTTGACGAACAACTCTGCTAGCCATCCTGGCGCAGTGACTATCCTGAGGTCATGACACTTCATCGCGGTCAGTTGGCTTACCGTCTTATCATGCAACATGCCAACACGGCAGTTGAGATGTACTGATCCCCCCAGAGGTACTTCAAGGGCCAGTTGGCCCCCGTCGCTCGCGTTGATCCCATCTTCCTCAAAAAAAGGCCCCCAGTGGTGCACGTGGTGGTGCCGGATGTGATTATGCTGGTGACGTAAGAGAATTGGTTGCTGGTGATACGTAGGTTTGTAGTTGTGCGCAGGCGTGATCCATGTAACGTTTTGGTCAATATTGTTGCTGTTGGCATCTTGTAGACCGCCATCTGCTGGAGAAAATAGACATATTTTATATTAAAATTTAATTTAGAGGCAAGAATTAGCTTCGCCTATAATTTTGTATATGTGTGAAACTTGGCCACTGACATTAAGGAAACAATATATCCTAAAGGAATTTTAGAATAATGTACTAAGGAAAATATTTATATCGAAACGGGATGAAGCAGTAAGGGGTTGGAAAGATTTCCTTAGTGCCCTTAGTGAAATATGATCAGAATAATCAAGTTAAGGGAGACTGAGATGGACAGGGTTGTAGCACGCATCGAGGAATAGAATAATGCATATAGGGTTTTGGTGGGAAAGTCATAAGGAAAAATCTTCTAGAAATATCTAGACGTAAGTGGGAGGATAAATATTAAAATGGATCTTAAGGAAAGTCGGATGGGGTTGGTATGGACTGGATTCATCAGGTCTCTTGTGAAAAAGATAACAATCATTCGGGTTAGATAGAATTTGGGGACATTCTTGAGTAATGAGCGACTGGCAGCTTCTTAAGAAGAACTCAGTTCCATGAATGTATTTATTTAGCAGCGATTAGAAATATAAATTTAAAATCCATAAGTCGTGTCTTAGAGTAGGAAGCATAATTAGATATATCATTGGGTGTCCTTATATTGTCTAAAGGATAATTGTTTACGATAATGTGTTTATGTAGTGATTGTTTTAACTCAGTTTCATGCTGTATATTATATTGTGTTGTAATTTTAATTGTTTTTATTGCCGTATTTGTATTGTATTCATTTTGTGTAGTTTGTCCTTTATTGTTTTTGTAGTTTTGTTTGAGTGTGTTGTGTTATTTTGTGTGATGTGTGTTATTTGTATCTTGTGTCTTATTGTAGTATCACTGTTACCGGGTAAAACCTATTTGCAGTTTAAATATAATAATAATTATAATAATAATAACATAAAATACTGTCCGCACACAAGATTGGCGGCTTTAATTTAAACATATTATTTTTATGTATTATATGGGATCTTGCATTCATTTTAGGCACCTATTTATGCAATCAAAACGTAGACAATCATGTGCGTTAGCAATTCGTACTAAATTAACGGAAGAAGTCTCATACACTGTTACAGAAACACTGCACCGTACGTGGACTATATCTCATTTGCAATATGAACAGTAATTTCTGGGAAGAAGAATTACCTCCTTTACCATCTCGTTTGCATTGAAAATATTTTAAATCTATCAGCCGTAACCTATAATATCTGCATGGGATAAAATTTATATGCACGTGTTTAATCTACTCCAGCACGGAATATTGTACTCATGGTTACAGCGAATTGTCTATTAATTTTTCCCCCAAACTTATATGTGTACACTGAATTCCATCCCTGAATTTTTCCCGTTTTTACACAAACATTTCCCTACTGACAGCTGAATATTTGCATACGTCTCTTTATGCAAACTTCCATGAGCCTGCATTTGATGACGATAGCATTTCTGTCACCTGGTAAGTTCGCTCGGCCGAAATGTTAATATTACCGAACTGGGAGAATTTAAATGTTGGAAGGCAGAGGTGCTGAATTTCATGAACTTTATCACGTTATTCCCAAAGTCATCTGATGACAGACATATATGCCTATAGGCAAAAAAGAACAGATATTGGCTGTCTTGTATATAACGACCTCCTTTGACATTAACAGGTACTACAGCGATCAATATTATGATTGTAATCATATGGGTCGTGATGGCGTGTATTCTGGTAGACATATACCGACGTTTCGGAGGTATATGAGACAGGAAGCCTCACATTATTGTGAGAAAGGTTACTGTAGATTCTTCAAAACTTTCTTACATTTATACCAAAATACATAATTTATTAAGGCAGGAGAAAATATACTTAGTTCATTAAGTTTTTTATTGTATTTTCTTCCTACAGAAAGTTTGGTCCACCTCTGTGGCCTAGTGATCACAGTTCCTGGCTACAAATCCAGAGGTCTCGGGTTCGATTCCCGGCGCCATCAGATTTTCTGACAAGTAGTGGGTCTGGAACGGGGTCCACTCAGCCTCGTGAGGATAATTGAGGAGCTATGTCAAGGAAATAGCAGCTCCGGTCTAGAAAACCGAAATTAACGGCCGTGGGGATTCGTTGCGCTACCACGTGATACCATCTGTCCATAAAAGTTGGCACTAACTTCGCCGACAAACGGCGGTCGCTCGGTCGGTATAGTTCGCTTGCGGACTGCAGGTCACGGAGTAGCAGGGAGTTTATCGTACCCTTATCCAACTTAAATCGTATCTATGACTGGAAAATGAATTTTAATGACAGATCACAGATATTACGAACACATTATTTCTAAGCGAGACCTTCCTATGATCTGTGGAATTCTCAACACCGAAATACTTGAACGATTAATCGAATATCGATAGTTACAAACCCAGGAAATTGACATAAAGTAAAACCACAATAACTTAAGATATTTCTGAATACTGGACATCCCTCAGCTTCCAACAAACTACGAATAGATTGCGACCAATATTCCTGCAGAAACACCTGGATATACTCAACACATAATTCCAAATTGTGTATCGGTGTACTAGATTCCAGAACACTAAATTAATAGGCCTATTTACTGTAATTTTCGCCTGTAGGTTTAAGTTTCCTTACTTACTATCTTAACCGTTATATCTTTTAGATCTTTAAGACTGCCGTGAAATCATGTGACAAATAATTCTTTTATTTTCCACAAACTATTGAGATAGTCACTTTTGTGAGTTTGATTTCTCATTGTGGTGAATGTGAAGCTTTCTACTATCCAGTATGTGACGACATATAGTCTGGTACACAGAGAGTTACCAGAAGCAATAATCTTCGTGTATCACTTTTCTCTATTTCCAGTACGTCTTTATACCATATAGAGAGTATATATATACTTACGGGTGTGAAACTTGGTCTCTGACATTAAGGGAGGAACATAGACGGAAGGTGTTTGAGAACAGGGTGTTGAGGAGAATATTTGGATCGAAGAGAGATTAAATGACAGGAGGTTGAAGAAAACTGCATAATGAGGAGCTTCATAACTTGTACTCTTCTCCAAATATAATTAGAACGATCAAGTCAAGGAGAATGAGGTGAACAGGTCATGTAGCACGAAAGAGAAGAGGTATGCATATAGGATTTTGGTGGGAAAGCCAGAAGGAAAGAACCGCTAGGAAGACCAAGACGTAGGTGGGTGGGCAATAATAAAATGGATTTTATAGATAGGATGGTATTGATTGGATTGATCTGGCTCAGGACATGGACCAGTTGAGGGCTCTTGTGAACACGGTAATGAACCTACAGGTTCCATAAAATGCTAGGAAGTTCTTGAGTAGCTGCACAATTGGCGGCTTCCAAAGAAGAACTCAGCTCCATGAGTGAGTGAGTGAGTGAGTATATTTTTTTTTTTTTTGCTAATGGGGTGGGACTAAGTCCATTGTACTGCGGCCACTTCTGGCCTATTGTACCAGCCCCAGATGATAGGTGAGGCTGATTGTGGAGCAGTTGGTGGAATGAAGATTGGCAGGGGAAACCGAAGTACTCGGAGAAAACCTTCCCCAGCGCCACTTTGTCCAACACAAATCCCACTTGACCAGACCCGAGATCGAACCCGGGTCGCCACGGTGGGAAGCCAGGGACTAACCGCTTGAGCTATGGCGCGGCCAAGAGAGTATATACATATTTTCAATAGATTCATAGATGACGACATATCAGTCTGCACGGCATGATAACCCCGAAGACCACAGTATGAATCTGCACAAAAGTTGAAATCTCATTTCATATATGTGTTAGAAATGTATAGCTTATATTTCGTGTAGTTTACGCTGTGAAGATATTTATGTTTGCAAGAATTTCGTATAGACCTACTAAATGTAATACGGCGTCATCAGAGTCAGTTAGAGAAGGATTATTTAGCTTAAACTTACAAGTGTCCGTCTTAAATGCGGGCGAGTGAAGGGTCTAGGATACCACTAACAGTTTGAAACTCTTAACACAGTAAAATTCTGCATTGTGTTCACAGAGTGGGTTTGTTTATTTCATGTGGGTCTCGTAATAAACAGTCACTCTTCTTCTAAGCAGTGATAACCGGGTGATCTCCGTAGAGGGGACAAAATGTGTTTACTGTAATTTACGAACTGAATTTTTATATATAATTTACATGAAATACATAATTTAACTGGGCCACCCTGTTTTGGGGGATATAAATACGTCTGCTTGGCCCTCCAGGTTGAAGGAGTCTCGAATTTGAGACAGTAAAATACTGTCACGTGTATCAGTGACTAAAGATGGGGTTCGGATTGGTACTTGGTTTTATTAACCACCTACAGGTCGTAACTACAAATAATTATTACATTATTGCTGATTTACACAATTTACAATCAGTCCAAACTAATCTTCTCAGTCTATTTCCACTAGTCTTCACTATCCGTTCCCTGGCAAAGGATTTGTAACCCAGGAACTATTAAAGTCTCATTAAATTACACACTCCCGATATTGGTGGTCTACAGCACATGTAACGTCACACACTGAGTCTTCTAATTCTTCTTCAGGCCACACTGCTGCTCATTTGGAACTTCGGAATTCAAGTGAAGTCCTCCTATTAATCACTCCTTCAGCTTACGACTACCCGCAAACGACCTTTGTTTACCCCTCAAATTTTTGGTGCGGACCTACAGAAAACACGTCACTTGATAGCTAGGCACTTTTGGGAGTGACGTCATTGCTCATGCTTGAAAGTGTGTTTACCAATTCGTTGCCCAGAAGCGGGTTACATAACCCTGTTGTTCCATTGTTACATGTTGGACCGTTTGTATGTTGCGGGCGTTGCCTAGCAATGGATTTACGTATCATAATATGGTTATGAGTCCTCGAGAATGACTGCGCTGTCGAGCATCAGCAGCAACTGTAACAGGCCCGTCAACTCGTCAGAGAGCGTTCCCCACAGCAACAAACCCCGAACTCTTTGACAGTAACAAATATCAGGTCTTGGGGCCCAGCTGAAA